TATATATATATATATGTATCTTTGGTCCTAGTTTCTGGCACAGTGCCTGCCCTATAAAGTATAAATGCTTGTTGGATGACTTAGCTAATGAATGAATGAGTGAAAGGATAAATGATGGAATTGATATTTGTTAATCATGTAGTAAGTAGTCTCCCTCTCTCTTTATATATGGTGTATAATGTGTATATTATGTTTATGTGTGTATATGTGTAAATATATCTCTCTTCCTGTTTTGAAGCCTTCAAGTTTAGCAGATCCAGTGGATATAGATACATTTGATCCATCAATGGACATAAGCCCTTTGCATGACATTATCACAGCTATCAAATTAAGAAGACTACAAAGGAAGGTCAAGCACATCTTCTTTGACTGGCTGAATCACTACAGATTTACATTGGGTCAGTTATAGAATTCACTGTGTTGCTTCTTATAACTGGTTCTCATTATTCAGAGAACCAACATTCAATTAAACATTTCCCCCTTCAGGGATCCTGAGGTGCTGAGTTTGCATACTGTAAAGCCCTGTCCAACTGGATTCTCTCTCTCTCTTTTTTTTAAGACAGAGTCTCTGTCTGTTGCCGGACACTAGAGTGCCCTGGTATCATACCGCATAGCAACCACAAGCTCCTGTGCTCAAGCAATCCTCTTGCCTAGCCTTACAAGTAGCTTGGACTACAGGTATGCACCACCATGCCTGGCCAGCTAAATTTTCTGTTTTTAGTAGAGATAGGGTCTTGCTCTTGCTCAGGCTGGTCTTGAACTCCTGAGCTCAAGCAATATTCTCACCGTGGTCTCTCAGAGTGCTGGGATTACAGGCATGAGCCATCAATCCAGCCTGTCCACATAGATTCTTGTCATGGATTAAGGTGACCAACTGTGGTAGGAAAATAGATTATTTAATTTCCTTTCTGTTTTTGGAGCAGAAAAGCTTGGTCACTTCCCTGTTTTTATAAGTAAAGGTGCTTTCATATTTATTTTTTGAATTAGAAAATCTTCCCACCCCTGAACCATCACCTCTTGATCTCTCCACCAAAACTTCAGTCCTTGCCAATGTCTTTTGTCCACTTTTCTGTGTTGAGAAGGGGCCTATATCTTCCTGTTAGAAAGTGTTGTTGCAATATCAACTCATAGTTGGTGTCTAATTACAGAACCTATCACAGTTTCAGTTTTTGACTGGTGGTAAAACAACAGAGTTTATTCTTCTTATTCATGGAAGTTAGGTTCTAGAAAGTCTCTGCAAATGCTAACTTAGTGAATACTGAACCATTGCTCCTAGGGATAGCTCACAGGGTCATCAATTGGTCAGTATATAATCTTCTCCTATGTGTGTTTTGTCTAAAAACATCTTACTTAAAATATATTGGTAATATATTAACATTGAATTATGGCCAACAGCACTAACTCATGCCTGAAAGAAGCTTATGCCATAAATGTATTTTCTCCTTCTAGTACATTATAGCCTTCCTGAGCTTAGGAACACTAGACAATAGGCCACTTAAAACAGCAAAATCACCAACAAAAAGCACACAAAAAATGTGAAAAACATATTAAATAGACCACGAAGAGGATGCTTGTTTATAGTATGAGAGCCAAAATAAGAAGGCAGCAGGCCAGAAGCAGTGGCTCACGCCTGTAATCCTAGCACTCTGAGAGGGCGAGGTTGGTGGATGGCTTGAGCTCACGAGTTCGAGACCAGCCTGAGCAATAGCAACACCCTAAAAATAGAAAATTTCTATTTCTAAAATTAGAAAAACTGAGGCAAGAGGATTGCTTTGAACCCAAGAGTTAGAGGTTGCTGAGAGCTATGATACCACAGCACTCTACCCAGGGTGACAGCTTGAGACTCTTCTAAAAAAAAAAAAAAAAAGAAAGAAAGAAAGAGAAAAAAGAAAGAAAGCAGAGTGTAGGCTTGTTCAACTTCAGCTGGGAATATGCACAAGAGGCAATTCATATTTTTCACTACTTACATGTGACCGTGAGAGTGCCATGAATACTGACTTTGGTTTTACAAATAAATTATAGCAAATAGGCAAATCCACAAATGTGGAACCTATAAATAATGAGCATCTGCTATATGCTAAAACCAAATGAAAGCATCTCCATTTGAGGAGGTAGTTTGCTGTATACTGTGCAATGTAGCAGACCTTCCCAAAGGTTATGCCACAAATGTTTACACAGGAACTAAAAACTGGAAATTCCCAGCCTTCACATCAGTCCAGCTGGACTAGAATGATTAAGCCCCTGGGATAGTGGGCTCCACCTACAAGCCACCTTAAATTTATCCCCCTGTGCCACACAAATACATTCTATTTTCTTTTTAAATTTTTTTCATATTTTAATTTTTAAATATCACATTTTCTATGATAAGAATCTATATATATAAGATTTTACACTAAACAGTTTTCTATGTGAATAAAAGTTTTGGAAGTAATGATCTATACATAGCATGGTAAAAGCTCAATTTTAAGAATCAAATGACCTGTCGAAAGCCTGATTCTGCTTCTGTCTAGCTGGGTGACTTGGACTTGCCTGTGATACCATGAAAATAAGAGTACTCAATTCATGGGGGGTACTTAATTCAGTGAGATAAAGTATTTAAAATGTTTGGCTCATTTCCTGGCACAAGATAAGCACAAACTTCTATGGATGAGATTTGCTGATAGCCTAGAAATCTTCCTTGTTTGTTATATAGATACAATGTATCCTCTGAGCAGACTAAGAGGTGCATTTAAAATAAAAGACCCAACAGAAAGGATGTTCTATAAATGCACGAAGGAAGCTTAATACAGACAGTAATAATATTAATCATGTCAGGGATGGTTAACATTTACTGATTACTTACTATACGCTCACTAGCAGCCAGGTTGACTCATACAGCTCAGCCTGCAGTTGACTCGTTCTACTAAGGTTGTTCAGTGGAATGCATTCTGTTTATATTTCAGGAATGGAATCACTGCACCTTTGCAAAACGCCAGTGTTTTTTCCACAAAAAATGATCAGGAAACAAGAAGTGTCATCAGCAAAACTTTCTCTAAAACAAGGTGCAAAAGAAAAGGATGAAGAAAAGGAGTATCTTCGATACCGAAATACTTTCTTGGAGCTGAAGGGTGTCTTTAAGCCTTTGCCTCTCCATGGCAGCCGGAGGACCCCAACTAGCCATCAGTCCCTCCGGTAACCAGCCCATTTGTCTTATTAATTCATCCAGCTCCTGGTTGAAAAAGCATTACAGTTCACCCACAAATGCTGAGCAAGGCCTGTTATTAAGATGCTTGACACAAGGGTTCTCTCTATAAGCGATCTGAGTTAAGGAGTTTACATGCCACTGTCATGTAATCAATGTAAAATCTTTCCTTAAACTGGACCAAATTTACATGCCTACATTCAAGTATTTGAGTTCTCTCCAATATGCTTCCTCAGAGGCCTCTCATTGAGCAGTGGAATTTGAATTAGTTATCAATCAAGTCTCACTTCGTTTTCACCCGTTTAGCAAACACTTGTTTAAAACTGACCCTATGCTGAAAAGTCGTTCCTTTCCAAACAGTTTCCCTCCAAACTTCTTTTTTTTTTTTTTTAGACAGAGCCTCAAGCTGTCCCCCTGGGCAGAGTGCCGTGGCATTACAGCTCACAGCAACCTCCAACTCCTGGGCTCAAG